CACAGATTTTCCACACTTCCAACACTTATTGTTGGATATTTTATAAATGTTGGCAATATTTTTTTAAAAAAGATAGCCAGGAAAAGTTACCTTCTTGAACCTCAGCTTCCAGAATCTACAGAAATTGCAACTCATGTGACCATGCTGGCTCTGGAAACTACAGCTCAAAAAAGTAGCATTTCTGGGTTGTGTGTCATTCTAGCTATGGACTGCACAAAGATATCCTGCTGATGATAGCTTCACCTCAGGGTCCCCATAAGTCAGAAACAACTTGGAGGTACACAACAACAACATAGTCTGCAATTATTATTACAGTACCATAGTGCAGATGGGAATACAGTCACCCTCTGTTTTCACAGGGGATCCTTTTCACACACACACCCGCAAAAACGAAAAACCACAAATATTCAAGCCACACTGGCTTTAATGGGCGCGCATACCTGCGCGCAGCCCTGCATGCATACCATTATATGCCTCCCAGCTTGCCAGTCCGCGAAAAGTGAGACCGTTGACTCAAAGTCCGCAAAAATGGAGGGACAACTGTATGCATGCATGAGAAACACAAAAGGAGAGACAACTGGCCTAAGGCCTTGTTGGTAAGTTTATAGCAGATAAAGTGGTTCTAAACCAGAGATCTGCTAGTTAATCTCTAAACCACTGTCTCTTGGCCTCCCACAATAATAAACTCCTTCTTGGGCCAGCTCTACCATTAGGTAGTCCGGTATGGGTGCCATAAGGCAGCATGTTTTGGGTACTGTGAGAGAGCAGTTGTGGGATTTTGCACCTAAGATACCAATATAATGGGGGTGGCTCTGCATACTAAGCACCTTGACTTGAGTGAGGAATGATCAACCATTTACTGCTATACCTCAGATAGAAACATGATTTAATTTCCCTAGCTCTCTGACCCACTGTATTGTTGTTTGCTTTCAAGCTGTTTTAACTTATGGACCCCTAAGGTAAACCAACCATAGTGTTTTCTTGGCAAGATTTGCTCAGAGGGGTTTTGGCCTTTGCCTTCCTCTGAAGTTGAGAAAGTGTCACTTGCCATACTCACCTAGTGTGTTTCCATGGTCAAATGGTGATTCGAACCCTGGTGTTCAGAGTCCTAGTCCACCATCCAAACTACTACACCACACTGGCTCTCAGAATACTATCATACCATTCACATCCGATCTCTGGTATTCACAGGCTAAGCAAGGTAGGTTTATATATGGAATACTAAAGAATACTAAAGATCTTCACACAGGGCCAGGAAATAATCCTGTCTAAAACCTTGGTGAGCCATTACTGCCAGTTAGAGTTGATAGTCCTGGGCAACCGTATCCTCCAACTGTCCCAATTTGGCAGGGATAACTACCAATTAATCCTCTGTCCTCCCATATATGTGTGTGTATATAACATACACACATATATACACACACAGAAAGAGAGTGCTCCCTCCACATTTGCTAGGACCACCATGAAAGTGGACAAACTGCAAATTAAAAAAACACACTTTTTTTTAATCTGAGAGAACATTGATTTAGGAATCTCTAGGTCCTCCAGTGCAATTTTGTGGTCAACATTCACCAGAGGTTGACTACAAAATTGTGTTGGAGGACCTACAATCACAAGGAATCTCTAGTTCATCTATCATAACTCTATGGTCAACTTCCAGCAGAGTTGCACTGGAGGACCTAGAGATTCATAGAGAGAACATATTACTCAAATCCATGAGTAAGCAAATCCACAATTGTAAAAGCTGGAAATGTTGAGGGATGACTGTATGTATGTGTGCATGTGTGTGTGTGTG